CTTATAGAAAGGAAAATTTAATAGAATCTCATTTCTTCCATTGACACGTCGAACATCAAACGATTACACAGGAAATTAACCGTATACTTTGTAGAAAGTGAAAATTGTCGGCAATATGTAGCTGTCTATAATAAACACAAACATAAATATCTGGGAATAAAAACGCAACGTGCATTTCAGTTATGTTTTCTAATAAATCATGGAGTTCCAAACTAAAAAATGATACAGAGTATTTACTTAAATATGTAAATAAATGAAAATGTAAAAGAATAACCATTTCACTCACATAAAATGTACCATATGTGTACATAGTAATGCTTTAAGAAAAGTAAAAAAATGGAACGACACTATTATGATTAAGAAGAGTTCGATTAAATATGTGTCACTGTAGAGTTGCAGAAAAATTAAAAACAAAACATTGGGCTGTTCGTAAACTAAGTTTTAATAACGAATTGGACGATAAATGCAAACAAATATTTCAACGTGAAAACTAAATGTTACAAAACAGTTTTCGGAAAGTAAATCTTTCTACACAGTAAAAAAAATGGTGAGTCAAATAGATTTTACAATAGAAGAATTAATAGGAATTTATAAAAGCTAATATTAAAAACTTTTTCATGACTGAATGAGTTTGTCTATAATTATATAAAAATCAGAAGAAGCCTCACATATCAAAATTAAATAGTCAGAAACGTCTAGAATCGATTAAAACACATAAATTATGCCAGGACAAATTCAATGACATCATTTTATGTATGACTTTATAGAAAGTTTTTTCAAATAAGATAACAAAATTTCCTCCAATTTCCAAATTTTCATGCAGCTGGTGTTAAGTCAAGTATCAGACATCGTTGACTTTTGAAACAACGGATACGATAAATATATTATTATTTTCGGGATTAAATAAAATTTTAGGTTAACAATATCAAAAGTCTGATTGGATCATCTTTTATACATTCACATTTACCGTAAGCTGCATAATACGTGTCGTCTAATTAGTGCAGACTAATTTGTAATTAGCTTCCTTATGTACCTTTCACTAAATCCGGTAACAAAGAACCGGGAAAGAAATGTTTTGTACCTTGATTTTTTCTTAAGACACAGCTGTTCTTTACAATTACATAATTATCACTTGTCATTTTACGTACTCAGGCAGTATGTCAAAATATTTGATTTAAAACGAAAGAATTGGAAAGTATTAATTGGAGAAATAAATTTCTGATTATCACCTATACAAATGAATATGTAAACATGTGAATCTGCCTAAATATTCGTGAACCAGTTGGCACATTAAATATACAGTTTCATTGGTATTTATTTTCAGGCCAGAGAACCAAACAACCTTATTAAAAATGCGTTCTCTTGTTACGTAAGTAATAATTCGAAAGTAAACAGAAAAAAGAGGGCGCGGAAGAGTGGGAGGGATTCGATACCTTCGCTCATTTTATTCGAAAGTATGTCTACTGTTCCGTTGAAACCTTGGAAGCTCCAAAAACGGAACATCCGCTGACATTTTAAGAACCATAAAAGTATGGAGGTTCCTCGAAAACTTTTATTCTTAGTTTCAACATGAATTTCACTTTAAACCTTTCCTACTCCATTTTAGCAAAACCCTTCCAGCAACTTTCGTTGCTTAATGCGTTCAATTTCTCTACGTTTCCTTCGCAAAAGGTCTCTTCAAAGTGCATTAGCATATATTGAATAATACAATTGCATCACGATTATTATATAATAATAAGCAGACAATTTAATACAATGGTAATAATTAATCCTTTGTACTCGAGAAACGACTCTCAGTTATCACTTAGATTCGTGCAACAAAATTATGTTTAATATTCAATATTAAGTTTCATATAATGTATTAATACGAGAAATATTAAATCAAAGTAGGTACATGGTTCTGTTCCTTAATTTATGTTCGATCGGCGTTATGGTAGTTGTAAACAATTTCATCGATATTTCATCAGAAAATGATAAATATTTCTAATGAAAAAATTTTGGAACACGGAGTTATAGATCACCAAACGACGAATGATTTCTATTAAAATTCATTAATGATGTTTCCTGATTGAGAAACACTTTTTCGGAATAATCTTAGTAATTTTTATAATAAAATTAATGAACGTACACGTTTATCATTTTTATGGACGCTTTTATGTAACTTCAGTGTAAGAAAACTATTTCTATAATGGAATTCGTTGTTGTCTATTATAACAGTCGCGAAGTTTCTCACTGTTTGAAATGTGTTGGAAACTTGTTCCAGACTTTATGACTCTTCTATTCACTAAAAATCAATGAATCAATATTCTGTTTATTCCCTATAAATGTGTCTGTGGTAGATCCCAGAACCATTTTTTCATTTTACTATTTTTGTCGTATGGAAATTAATGTCCTAGTTTTAGCCTCTCTATAGTCAGACGTACTTTCAACAATAGTTACAAATGGATAAATCAGACTAAATAAAATATTGCACGCCGTTTTAGTTGACTTCTGTAAAACAAATAGCGATTTCACTTTGTTTAAATTCGTTTAAATTAAATGGATCATCTTTTGTGGTATATGACATTTGCAATAGGAACTTTACACTTACTGAGAGAGCAAAGCAGACCCTATTTTATAAAAATGTGAATTATTAATATTTTATTTAATATTAGAAATATCGTATAAATAAGAAATAACTGATTTTAATATTCTCATTTTATAAAGACTAATATCATGAAAATGTTAATTAGTCATCATTATATTAAAAATTAATACTTTTATTTACATAACGCAATGAATATTAGCAAAAATTTAAACAAATTTATAGTACCTTATAATTGTGTTAAAAAGTACACGTCACATCTTATTAAATACTCGATAATTCTATTATTAATCGCACAATACTTATTGAACTGAATAACATGTACTTAAAATATTTTTTCATTCTATAAACTGAAAAATTGAGTTTATTTTTTATTATTTACAAAGATGAGTATACATATAAAACTATTTTAAATCTGTAAAAGATTCGAATTCATCGCAGTAGTGTCCTGACGCACTTTACGTAGGATATTAGGAATGAAATGAAAAAAAAATGCATTAAGCGTAATGGCACCGTTTTGTGGCCACCTTGATCATGATGTGCAACCTAGATTTCTTTTATGGTATTACATAAAATGTGAAGTGATAGCTGCTATTCGTACAACGAAGGTTTTGAACATAAGAATACGCATTATTTGTACATAAATTCTTTTCTAATTTGAGTTTTCTCATTTTTCATTTTTCATTTTTCATTTTTCATTTTTCATTTTTCATTAAGTGTTGCTAATAATACTCGGAAAGTATTATAAAAACAATAGTTAAATAATATATTAAGCTAATTCACTATTCCAAAGGACTCCTCTGTTTATGTATACTTGATAAAAAAACTGCATGTACTAAACCCTATTCTTTGTACATAAGAATTCCATTGAACATCATTTTTTGACGACTACAAGCAAACAAACCTAATAGCAACTTTCCTCACGTGTGATCGCATTTGTCAATAAACATTTCGATCTACGATTTTTTACAAAATTTTAGAATATAGTAAACCTTGGATAATTGCAATTTATTGTCCACAACTAGCAGAATTACTTTATTTTTTTATGTAACCGACTAAATAAAATAAAGTTATCTGTGAATTTTTAAAATACACACATGAAGTACAAGACGTAAATGAGAAAAAAGTAATTATCGTTAGATATAACCGTAGAAAATGCAAGTTTACTGCAACTGACGTTAAATGTAAGTGTTAAATTTTAGGTGAAAACGTCTTTCCGTTTCTGCATATTGAGCTTTTAACCTTTTAGCTACTAATACATGGTATCACTTTATTAAGTATAAATATGCACTCTTATAACGTCGGAGTAAAGTACATACTGTACTGTGCAAAACGAGCAGAAGTAAAGTATGGCATGTTTAGTTGAGTCATCTAATGATTGCCACATTTCTTGCATTTACATATTCTGTAACTAGACTGCGAACTATTATGAATCCACAACTTGGAATAAGCTTTAGAAAAATAAAAATAATATAACATAGAATTAAATTCTGTACAATCTTTTATTTCATATCTTCCAATCTTTCATTTCACATTCAAATAAATTAAAAATAAAATCAAATATAGTGAAATTTTATACAATCTTCTGTTTCAATTTATTAGAATTATCAATATAGGAAATAATATTCTTAACTACGAAAATATGAAGCTAGATGGAAATTCGTCTAATTATAACAGTTTCGATTTATAATAAGTACAATGTATTTCATGCAAATGCTTCAATTAATATCCCATAATATTTAAAGTGGTAACATGCGATCGCTAAAGGTACCAGGAAACTTCCTTTTACTCTCAAACGCTTCGTTGTCATCATCGAACCGAAAGAATCGGTCGAGGTCTCCGCAAGAAGAGAGCGTGCGCGCGCGCGAGACCGGAAACGACCGAGGTCGATGCAACGTCATTCTTCATCTCGCTAAATCATCGTCCGATTCGTTTATATCCCCTGTATAATAATTAGAGAGGCCAAAATAAAGCTTCGTAGTACACACCTCACAATGACACTAACCTAATCGTTTTTTATTAAGCATTATTGATTTATCTCCAAGGTTGATCGCATTATGTAAAGAAAGATAATGAGCCTCGTGTGCGAATCAACATGAATGAAAACACATAAAGAGGAATGAAGTACAAATTGTTCGAACATGTACCACAAAAATTGATTAAAGAAGAAAAATCCATTAATTGAGAATAATCTGTTGATTACCATTTTAATCTGCAATTTTTATTTAATCAATAAATGGAATAAAGTGTTGATGATGGTATTATGTTTGCTACGTAATGTACAATATAGTTGATTGTTACATTAAGAATTCCAGTAAATTATGTCAAATACTTTGAAAGAATATTTTAAATCATAAAATTACGAATTATATTATATGGAAACATAAAATTCAGAAACATAACTTATTGTTTACAGATCACCGGCATGCGATTGTTATAGCGAGGATCGAGGGACAAGGGGAAGATTCGAATCATCTGTGCGGCTAAACGATAAAGGTAAGTGAAATAACCATTTTTATGAGACTTTCAGAAAGTTACATCATTTTTTACTTGTATTTTAACATTATAACTACCGAGCATTTAATACGATTGATATGTAATCTATTTAAAAATTATAAGAATAGATTATTTTCAGTTTCTTCAGACACTATAGTATTTAAGTGAAACTTTTAAAGCATCAATAATTGCAGAATAAGTAAACTAAAACCCGTGATTTTGTCGGGTACCGTAGTTCTAGTGTTAATGATAACTCACCGTTTTACTAGTTGAATTCTTTCCGTTCATTAACTGGTTCCTGAATTGCATCTATAAAGATGTTCACGTAAACTATAGATCAGCAGACCGATAAAATAAAATATGTACCTAAGTAATTATAAGATTTTAAATCCTATTGTTACAGATCATTTTCATTAAAATTCCTCACTTCCGCCATAAGAGTCAGTAGCTTATTTCATATATCTTTATTTTCATTAGAACTCATCTTTCTTATCGCTTTCATTTATCATTGTTATTATAAGAGCCCAAAGCGTATTTCCACAGGTTCTCATTTTTATTAAAAATCCACTTCGACGGTTTCGTTTATAAAACATCCGTGGTCAAATCGAATCGTGCCCGAGCAATGACATCTTCGAAGCGAAGCCCATCCGAGTGGAATCGCAAGTGGAGAAGGGAGGAGCGAACAGGCGAAACGCGCATACTGGCTCGTTACTGGTTCTGTATAAAGGGAACATTACCTTCTAGCGGCGTCTAACGGTGCAAGTGCATCGAAGCGTGCCACAACTTTCCTTCGGGGTCCTGGATCGCGCTGTACGCAAACAGCACAGGGTTTCGGATAGGCCAGGAAGTATCCAGATACCGTATATTGCGCAACTATTTCATCACAAGGCACGATGTCGCCTGACCTCTGCTGGAACGCGACGCGGAACAAGACATTCGATCCCTCGACGATCCTTTAACCCCCTGTCCGTTGATTTCTTTCGCAACTGTGCTCGATCAAACTATTTTATCGTGAATTATTTATTAGAAAAAGAACAAAATCTCATGCTTCTTTTTATATCTACGCTATGATATGATCTAACGGTTAACGACTGATAATAGGAAAACAATTTTTAACTCTTTACGGTTGAATGTCGTAATGACAACTTCGAGCAGTCGTATCTAAAATCGAAAGCTGTGAATGAGTGATTTAATTATTCTAATGATAATGAGAAATTGATAGGAGGTTTTCTTTTCTTCTAATATTTAAGATTTCGAAGTATCTTTCAATCTTTTATGGAAACAGTTTTTACGAGTTTAAAATATTCTCGTCCGCGAAGGGTTAATCTATATTCAAAAAAGGCAAATAACGTGCAGCCCCTAATGAAAAATTAGGACCACTGTTGATGTTACCTTTGAGAAGATTGACGATGAATCAACAATCTGATTATTTTATGGTCAAGTTACTGGTATTACATTTTTGTAATTCACGCTTAATTTCTTTGTTTAACTTTCGTTCTTAGCCCTCTTCTCTGCAGTGGAGCATCTCAGTAGCCAACTGATTTGACGTAACCCTTCTTATGTTATTAAAGCTTTGTCTTATAATATCAGTGCAGACTAATTCTGAAAATTTTTAATTAACATGAAGGAATATTTATATTGTTTGTTTCTTTTAAGTCGAAAATAATACTTCTTTTCTGTTACCAATATTAATTTAATCTTTATAGTAAAACTAGACTTATAATTAGCGTAGAATTTCCTTTCCTCTAAACTAATCACGCTAAAATAGCTGTTGTGAACGTAATTGGCAAAGAAATCCCACGAAAGAAACGGTTACTTTGCATGTGCATATGCAAATTCATATACAGTAAGTTATAAATTGATTTTAGAAGTTAAAGGTGATTTCAAGGTGCATTTCACTATGCATGTTTTAATGCACGTTGATGTTAAGTACAGTCTGAATAAAAGAACGCACACTTTTATATGTAAGAAAATATCGATGACCTTGAAAATTATTTATACTAAAATATTTTTTACACTGTATTTTGGAAAGTATGGTTAAATAGCTCATGTCAAATAAAACACTTTCATCAAGAAACTAAAAATTATTTTAAATTAATACATCTTTCTAGTATTGTGCTTAATAAATGTAACGTATGATATTGAAAAATGATGCAGATAATTCACAAACCATTAATATTTTATTTGCTTAACAAGAAATATTGAATGTTTGAATAATTAATAAATTGCATATTGATATGTCCCCTATTGATAATAATTAAAATTTACTTTGAAATCATTCGAAGTCAATCAAAAAACATATTCCAATGTTCTTCTGTATTTAATAAACATATCTCGTTAAATTATTTTAATTATCCAAATTTGGAGTGCTTATACAAATTTGTATTATTGTACACAAACTCTGTTGAAGGGGAAGCATCTGTTGAAGCTTTAATTGATTTACAATTCAGTTTGCGTATTGCTAAATCAATTTCTTCAATCGTTTCTCAGAAAAACATCTGTTATCTTTTTAATCATTTCAAAGAGAGGAAATCAGCACGAGTCATTTTGACTGGTTTGATAGTTTGGTGTTAAAATTCTGTTTAACTTTGGTAAAGTTTCCATTTTACTATTGTTTTCCTTCGCGGGAATCTGTTTAAACCGTAAAAGCATAAAAATCCTCAGCTTGCACATAAGAATCCCGTCAACAGGATGATCCCGTCGCACACAGGAAGCGGTGACTGCATGTGTTCAAGCGAATTTAGATTGAATGACGACGACGCTGAATCACGCAGCTACGCACTCGCCAGGAAGATCGGTTAATTAATACAGCGACTATTTCTGTTAGCCATTACCGTATCCTTAAATCCTTTTTCCGTAAGTGGAAACGATTTACGACGAGAGAAAAAAGTATCGGTGTACGCAATCGATACAATTGCAAGCATTTACTTATACCAACTAACGATTAACCTATTAACTGTGGAATTTAGTTGAAAAAATCTCTTGTTTTGCACGCAATAAAATGAAATCTGTGCTCGTCAAACGCAGAACGAATGCACCTAGCGTATATTTCAATAAAAAGCCAAGACAAAGCAAAGAAGAATTACATGTTTATCTGAAAAAGTAAAGAATTTGTCGTTGATGGAATTAGTATCATTCACAGCTTTAAGATGACGTGTTTACACGTCAAACGCAATTAACTGGTTAATACGAATTCGACGAACAATGATGTGTCACGCTTAAATCCTGCACTAAAGAACAAAGGAACAGAAATTCTTTTTCAAAAGCACTTTCAATAATATTTGTTTGATTTATTTTTATTAAATACGATATTCACAGTTTCCACAAATGTTAAGTTAATAAACATATTCATTTTTCTCTATTTATTCCGAATTGTTTGCATTACATGAGAAGTGGAAATCGATATTTTGATTAATTTCCTTCTCTTACAAATATTATACTTACGTATTATACGAACCACCTTTGTTTCCTAACTGAAGGTCGCGCTGATCAGTCATTTGAATTATCATTATATCAGTTATTCGTGGGCAATACCTTTCCTCTTATAAATATTAACACGCATGGGTAAGATTCAATTGTATCAACAGTTTTTTTCATTATCTCGGAAACTAAAAAAGTCGAACATTTTTATAAAAATGTAGCTCAAAATATTGATTTGATATTTAAAAATCACGAAAATCACTGAAGAATCTGTTATTCTACAAATTGAGCAAACAATTTAATAAAATCTGATTCGTGATGAGTCAGTAACAAAGAATTCGTATACAAAAGTTGAGACTGCGGAATCTTGAAAGTGAAAACCTGTAACTTGCGCCGTTCCGCCTTGTAACCTCACAGACAATCAAATATACACTGTCGATCAAAAGTTTGGGACCATTCCATATGTAACATACATATGTCCATGTTCCTTTATCACACGCAAAAATTCTATAATAAAAGTTGTTTACAATAAATGGAATCTTTTCTTTTAACCAGTTAACTGTGTTTCATGAGTATACACGCCATCTTAAAGCTTGAAATGGTACTAATTCTTTCAACGATGAATTCTTTATTTTTTCACATAAACATGTAATTGGTCTTTATCTTGCTTTGGTTTTCCATTAAAATATACCCTAGCTGCATTCGCCCTGCGTTTGACGCGTACACATTTTTTAACTTTATTGCGCATAAAACGAGAAATTTCTGAAATTAAATTCTACAGTTAAAAGGTTAACTGATGTATCGGTCCCAAAACTTTTGACCGACAGTGTATCTACAAGGCGAACAGAAGCTGATTCTAGCGTGGTCTTGTGCAAATTGCATTTCGACTAATTGACTCGTCGACACTACTCAAAGACAATGCTCCAGGATCAGCATTTCAAAATGAGATCCCGCAAAAACGATTGTCCTTCCGCTGGAATCGCGTAAATTCGTTGTTACAACACTGATTTTGCAATTGAACGCCATTCGTCGTTTCGACTGGACCGAGTCTACTGGTTCAATGATACCATTTGTTTTTTCGCCGAACGCTGTGCCGGTGTAGCAGCGGCAGTAACAAAAATTCTTGGTAGCGAGCTGGGCTGGGTGTAGCTCGGAGCCCTGAACGGTGAATGTCGACTTAGAATTCCACCCGCGAACGTAACAATCCGAGCCGACATTGGAGTTTGCAATTCGCAGCGGCTGCTTACGTCGCGAAGGGAGATATCACGTCGGAGAATGGTCCCCGTCGTTCCAGTTATTGCTCTAGGTCCGGTTGCGTTCTTATCTTGTACGTCAATTTCGATCTGGCAATGAAAAAAACGACGCACAGTGGGGAATTTTCACGATCTAGGCGGCCAAAGGTTAATTTTACCAATTTCATCCAAAACCATACATTTTCTTCTTCTTTTTTATTTTGGTTTATTTTAACACATTGTTGACAAAATGATGAAAATTTTTCACTAAGAAATTATTAAAGAAATCGATTTAGCAATACGCAAACTCAATTATAAATCAATTAAAGTCTTGATAGACGCACTCTTGAAGTTTCTATACAGGAATTTCAAACAGACAATTTAACTGCTCGATAGGTTTAATGTTAATACTGTGAAACAAATTCCTTCAGTGTGAAAATCGTTCAGATAACTATATTCTATGTTTTGTAAAGTTCATCACCTATTTACCGCGTATTTTCATAAAGCTATTTATAGTTGAACATAATTAATGCTTTATCGATATTTCATACAGTTGTACAACTTCTCCAATGATTTTGTCATAGATCCAAATGCGTCCCGGCTTTTTTCCAAGCACAGTTGTATTCTGTAAGGTTTTGAGATTGTTATCAAACAATAAAATTATCCGCCTACGTCCGCGTTTTTGTTCTAGAGCAGTCTGTTTACCGCGTTATATATGAGGAGAATTATTTTTACACGAAGAATCACCACGTGACTGTTCAAGAACAATAAAAACATACATATGTGCATTTAATTTCTTTGACATTAGGAAAGATAAAAGTACATTTTAATTATGTATACCTACTGTTGTTGGTTAGAAAATAGAAATAAAATAAAATAAAAGGGATCGGAAAATCGCTCACTTATCATCTGCAGAAATGTATCGCTTCTAACAGACATCGTTCCGTGCATTTATTACAGTAAAGCTTTTCCGTTCTTATTCCGATTGTAAATACATCATCTATTGAGCTCGTTGTCATACATTCAAAGCAATCTGAAGATCAGCATATCATACATAATTCAAAGCATGTTTCATTCAGCAATAACAGTATGGTAACAAAAATACATTGTCCCGTTTGGAAGAGACTGAGAGTTCGAGGTCTAAATATGATCCTCGAGAAATTATTTCTTCGTAATTATATTCTTCTATTCACGAGGAACAATACACTCTTCTAATATTTTGTTAAACAATTTTGATTAAAATGAATAAAAAGTATCAAATTGACTCAAACTATAACTATGGAATATGGAAAACCGAACAAGGCATTTTACACAAATGTCATATATGTATGACGTTTTAATATAGCCAAAACGACAAGAAGGTATACGTTACATATATGTTAATATCATAATAGCAACGATACTCAACAGCATTACACGTACGTAACGTTAGTGTAAAGAAATCTAAGCGATGGGAAATTCGAATGCGATCATCTGCATTTCGTCAATCGGCGTCTTCTTAAGGGAAAACGTTCTCTAGTCTGGGGGTGCAATAAATAGAGCGAGAGCCACGCTAACAAGGGTAATCATCCGACTAAGCAGTGCCCTTCTCAGGTCATTCGTTCTGTAGCCTTCGTCGTGACAACGTCGAAATAAAAAGTTCTACCTACACAATTTCCCAACATTATTTAAGCCCACAAATGCCTATCCTACACTAGGTTCTCTGAACGAATCGCCAGATATATGTGACACGTGGTCACAGACGCGTTCAAATTTCTTAATCTTTTTATGCATCATACAATCAACTAGCATAAATGTTTGATGTTAAAACTTTCTTTCGCGTACTTTAAGACGGAAACGTCACGGTGGTCGTCTGGAAGTTATAATAATTATTTCAATAAGATTCACTTTCCACATCGACAAAGTATACTCTCGATGACTACAGGCTTTTCCACTTGCCTAGCTACTCTTTTATAGGAATGGTCAACAGCGGGAGGCCTTTTCGTAGTTAACAACCGAACTTGAAATTTACGATTGCTTCCATTATTGGCCAGTCTTGCATATGGACACATGGATGATTGATCGAGCTGCCTGGCCATAATCGCGTAATGCTCGCACTCATAACCTGACAATTACTTTCAATGCTTCCCAGTCCTACAAGGAAACACACCGAAATGACGTCAATCGAGTTTTATGCAACTTTGATGGAAAGTAATTAGTAGACTGTTGATCTTCATGCAAATTTATAAATTTAACACTTATAACTTTACAGTTATAACTTCAAAGTTGAAAAATAAATAGTTTCACTTCAATACTGTAACTAGTATACGAAAACACTGAAAAAAGATCTGTTATTATAATTTTTATAAGGATTATATATTAATCTACTTTAACACTATTTATTTTTCAAGCTATGTTATATAATAGTGAAACTATTTATTTTTCAAATCATTTCGAATATTTAACGTTTTTATGATATCAAGAATTACGAAATAAGAAAACTGAAATTCGTCATTCTGCCGGGTGCGGTTGTTTTAATATTAAATAATATCTATAGAATTAATTTGATTTTCTTTATGTAATGTGACAGTTACAAATATATGACTTTGGTAGCTAACATGTTACGAATAAAATTAGGAAAATGGAATTGAGATAGAAAATGATCCTTTCTAACGAATATCATTCTGCTCAATTGTACATTTCCCAGTTTCCCATAAATGTTTAAAAACAGAATTTAAATATAGATACTTCAATTTACAGAAGTATCTTTTGTGAATATATTTCATACATGTTCTGATCTTGATAATTATTTGTATTGAACGCATGATGATACTTTAATTAAAAGGACATATAAAAGTAATAACAAACAATTATAAAAAACAATCTAAATACATTTATTATCGTATAAAATGTTGAAATGTTACAACGATATAATTTACCTATAACGTAGAAAATACGAATTAAAATTGTTTCAGTTAATTGGCTTTATCGGATATAATTAAAAATATGTTGAAATTACAACTTGACCACGTCAAGATTGCGGTTTTCTTCGAACGGTCAAAGTTTATGACAGTATTGTTCCGAGAGTTAGCAATAAAAACCAGCGGGACCTCGAGTTTTCCTCGCACATTGGCTGCGGACCGATATTCTAGAATACCGTTAACCATTATCAAACATTGACAGGTGTCGACAAATATTGAGGGCAAGAAAGTTTGAGATGATAGAAACGCACCAGATAAAGGAATATTTTTCAGACGAAACGATAGTATTTTAGTGGTAATAAAATGGATGATGATTCTACAACAAAACACACGCGTTCAACTTAAAAGACTTTGACCATAGGCTTCTCTGCATCAGACAATCACTTTTTTCATCTGAAATAAAAGAATCTCGTGTCAACACTAGAAGTCTAATAAAAATTTATATTTAATTTACATCTGATACAAGTTAGTACACTTATAAAGCATTCGAAAATCAGCGACTCACTGAAATTCTATTGTTCTTAATTATTTTCGTGATTTGATCTCTCAACGTATAATAGAAGTCCTATGCAGGGTGAGTTATTTAATCCTATCACCTGAATCTAATTGCAAACCATTTATCACATAAAAAAATTGTTTTAAACAAAAGTTACTTGGAATCAATCATACCAATCGTATTTTCGTCAACCCTGGTTGCAATTCTTGATGCCAAACAACTTTTGCGTCGAACATATTTTTTAAATAACAAATCAATTTTAATAGTACGATCAAACGACTCACCCTGTATGATGAGTTTTACTGCACGGTTAAAACATTCAAATATTTGGGAGTTGGTATCATTTCGTAACGAGAGATAACAAAATTCTCTATAGCTCCGTCTCACTTCGTCGGATTCGGTCTCACTTCCGCCCTATATGATTACTGTGCACTAATGATGACGCGTTGAAAATCAAGGCAGTCCGAGCATCGTGAGTGGAAGAGTTTCCCTGCCTTCGTGCACTTTTAAACCTAAGGTCGCCTTGGCTATCGTGAGAGCAGGACTATACCAACCGCGAGAATATTGTAACTGAAAAACGTGTCAACTCGCCCCGAATCCCTCACACACACAGTATCCCAATAAATACTCGAATCTCAAACTCCCCTTTTGCTTTTCAGATGCTGCCAAGGTTATTGGCGGTGCTCTGCACAGCACTTCCCGTGGTGCTGTCGCAGAGCAACTACGCCTCGCAGGGTAACAGCATCGAGTACCAGCCCGGCCTGCCACCGAGCACGGTCCTGAACGGCAAGGTAACCAAACTGGACGACATCTCGTCGATGATATTTCTGAATCGCACCAAGGCGTACCTGAATTGCAGCCAGGGTAGCATGCAAGTCGAGCTGAAGTTCGAGGAACCGTTTTACGGGGTCGCCTACGCCGACTTCGATCGTAATAGCGCGTGCATATTCAAAGGCCGTGGATCGACCAGCGCCAAGTTGGAGCTACCTTTAAAAGGTGCGCGATCTCTTCTATGTTGACAGCGTACCCATCATCCTCGACTCCCGCTTTTACGATCTTAAACCGTGCCGAGTTGTCCACGCGGCGAATAACGCCGAGCGTGGGCTACGCGACATTTTTACGCGATTTAGAAAGAAGATCCCTTTCTTCTTCTCCTGCTACGGTGCGGCGTGCACCGCGCGCAAGCAACGACGACGCGAATACAGCTGGCTGCAAAAATAGCTGGCTCGTTCGACATGTAACTAAAATGGAAATGAAACTGTTGTTGATCTTGTAATATGCTTCTTATTGGTACTTGGGCAGGTCTGTTGACGCGTTATGCAAATGCTTCAGGAAGATTTTCTTAGAGTTCTTTTGTGTTTCGATACTGATCGCCTTGTTTTGAACACTTTCATTGGTTGGGTATAAATGGAGGAGTAATGGCTTTTATGCCAGCTTTTTTTGAATACATATATATGAGAAATTTAAATAGGTTCACAGATTAAAGGTATCTTTGATACTGTTCTTTTTTAACATTTAAAACTTGAGTGATGAAATAAGATCGGTAAAGTGATTTAGAGAAAAATCGTCACTTGACATTTTTTAATTATTTCTGTACTACTTATTAATGAATATAAGTTTAACCCACGACAAGAGCAGAGTAAAAAGAAGTTGTTAGATTTCTGAAATGTTGTCGTCGAAAATTCATTTGGTAAATATTTAAAAATATTTATTAATTAACAATTAGAATGTGTCTTCATTGTTATACACTGTTTATACACGCATGTGTCGATTCCCCTTGCCCCTGTGCATTTTTTGCTCGGTCAAGACGTGAGAGCTACACTGTACCATAAAACCTTTCCTCGTGCAAAGGATATCTGTACCTCTTCTGTTATGGGTGCAAAGTTAAAAAAAAATGACACTAAATGTCAGAACCACGCGGAAGACATATTCGAAGGAATTACGGCTGAAGACACATTCCTTGAGAAGAGAAAAATCTTTTTATGAGGCGCGTTTAGAGGCACTCCCTATTAAAAGAGTTAATAGTGTTTATAGTGATTTGAATGACCAAAAAGTTACTCAGTTAACAGGCTAAAAGAAATTAAGTTATTGGAAAAATTCTAAAAGTGCCATGACTCTAATCACCAGCTTACAAATCTTGTGACTATTCTTTTTCATAAGATTTTTAAATGTTAGAATTTTTTCCTGGGTAAGAAGTTTTATTTCAACTAGGATAATGTTTTTCGAATTAAATGTGTTTGATATCTTTCCTTAGTTCACGGAGTTTCTTAAGACAATAGATGATAGTTCGATGCTTTCTGGTTTACTCAAAAATGTAATTCGAGCTAAGAGAATGATAGTCATTAATTTCTAAAGTAAATGAGACCTTTGTAGATTGGAAATAAGATGTATGAATTAGTTCCTCTTCACTACATGTCACATGCAGACATGCAACACACATCATTGATTTAAGGTTTGAGACTAAAGAGGCCAATTTTCGTTTCTAGAAAGTCAGTTGTGTAACCGTCGCAGATGACAACTCCATCAGGTTCATTAAGGAAACGTTTATACAATGGAGATTGTATTTTATTATGTTGGAGACGTTGTATGTGACAAATATTGTGCTAGTAGGAAACGCAGAAATTAAATAAAGACCTCCATCAGTGATCAAATCTAATTGACGTTATAATCGTTGTATCCTGTACAATATTTGTATCAATATTAACAACAAAATAATCATTTTCTTCCAAACACAAGAAGAAATATGTGCATCAAAGTTACTCATTAGAATAAAAGGTTCTGATATAATCTTGTTATCAACTAAGAGTATTTCTACAAGAACTTCTCAAAGCAAGAAGATCCTTTTCACGAAGATTGCTTCATCTTCTCTTCAATCGTAGTCTTTCCTAATTGCTTTGGATCCTAGAAAGTAGAAAAGTTCATCCTTATTATAAGACAAGAGATTTTTCAACTGCTATTGTCATTGGAAAACAAAATTTATTTACAAAATATCAATTAGAGTTAAAGTGTAATTAGTTATTACTAATTACTAATGTTTTGAAAGTATTCAATATCTTAAATGATTTTTGAAATAAATAGTTTCATTTGGATACTGTAACAAATGTCTGAAGAAATCGAAGAAATATGTATTCTTACCATTTTTATAAACATTGCGTATCACCCCCAATAAATGCTTGGCATATAAATATATGTTAATTTTAATATATTATATTTTATTATATTATATTATGTTAATTTTAATATATATTGTCATGGAGGAAATACCACAGGACGCGTAAATCTCGCGTTAATTCCTTGCCCTATGATTTATTTTCCAACCGTGATCAACACAACTTTGTCAGTAATAATTTATCGAAAAAAGAAAAAAATTCAATGTATATTCTATGTCTGCATTTGCTCTACAATATAATAATTGATGACAGAAGAATAATATTTAATCTGGAGTCGAAGGAATTGAGTAAAGTTTGTGTTTGTTAAATTTTATTTGAAATACTCATTATGAGTCTTACACATAATTATAAGACAAAGGATTAAATGCAACTAATGAAACACGCACTGTATTTAGTTATAGCTTGAACTTGACTCTTTCAACCCTGATACGACTATTCCGATCTTTCTAGCCAACTTCACAATTTTTTTAAATCCATTCCTTCCAAATATCAACTCTATCACACGTCCTTTTGTTAATCGACATAGTATCTAAATATCAACAAATTCGCCCTCGGCACGCACTCTCGCACCCCACTTCCTTCTCGAAAAGCCCCAACGCTTCCTTGGGCCTTGCGTAACTTAACGAACTTTCTCGAAGTCTCGCACCTTCCTCCAACTTTCTCTTTTATGACCCTCGCAATGAGAAATATCTTAACGTAAATTTAAAACTGCTCTTGAAAACCATGCGATACTATATGATACAGGCAGTAGGCACTAATTCAACGCTGTTCCGACCATTAGAGTGTAACGTATAAATTCTTACACAGCGAGAGGTGCTACAGTTTCGATGAAGTTTTCAATTCCTTGTCGATTCTAACACGTTCAGCTTTTCTGCGGAACTCAGAATAAATTTGTTGACAGTGGATTTAATTTTAAAAGTGTAAAGTTGATTTTAGTCGAGACTATGATGCATGCTTTGTATTTGGTCCTCCGTGGAAACGATCAGGAGGAAATCATTTGGTCTCGCCTTTAACCCCGTGTTTTATAAAGTATAATTATTGATGGCAGACAAATAATATTTTATTTAAATTTAGAAGTGTTAATTCTTCGTAAAACACTCTATATAGTTCAGCTTCCTCTGCTGAAGTTTTCGAATACTTCAAAAAATCCTCGTCCGCCGAAGGTTAAAAATTATGGCATGGAAATTGAAAATATTGAATGCTCGCAGGATGCGGCACAAGGCAGGATCCACAACGTGTGTTCACCAACAACGTCGTAGTTCGTTTTCATCCCGGCCTCGAAATGGACGGCGACGAAGTTATTACAATAGTCTGCAGATATCCTCCGCCTGTGGCGCCTGCACCACCCAAGCCACCTGAAAGCATGTAAGTAATTTACTTAAAGCTCTATTCCTGAAGTACGTAAAAAGAATGAATCACCTTATTGTAATAGAATTAAAAATGTTTTGTTGTAATAACATAAAAAATGTAAGGTGGTCTATAGTATGACTATTATAGGACTGGGATAGGTACAAGGTCAATTAACCTATCAACTGCGAAATCTTATTTAAAAAATCTCTGATAACGCTCGCGATGAAATCGAATAATAATGTGTATACTCGTCAAACGCAGACAAAATGCACCTATAACATATTCTAATGAGAAATTAAAGCGAAACGAAGAAGAATTACACGTTTATCTGAAACAATAAGTAATTGATCGTTGAAGGAATTAGTATCGTTTTGTCTTTAAGGTGACGTGTATAATATATAGAAGATATTTTCAATAATTAGAATAAAATTCTTGAAATAAAAAAATCTTCAGAAAGCATGGGTGAAATAATTTGGGGCATAAAATAAAGACAATGAGTTAGATAAAGTGTTGTTGCAGTAAAGTAAATGGTTTTCAGTCTATACATAAATTAGTTTAAAAAATCTAATCGATTGTTAACACATTGTATGCGAGAGACACTATTTCATATACCTTCGAGTAGTAGTAAATGAATATTAAATAGTAGTTTATTTATTAATACATTATAAATTAATATATTATAATATTAAATAGTAATCAAATTATTAAATAGCAGTAATGAATAAATCTGTGTTTATTTCATTAACAGTTTATGTTAAATACAAAAGTTTGATTTATTTTACTGTATGATTGAAAGTATTGAGTTAATGCAAAAGATTTTACTTTTTTCAGAAGAAATAAAAATAAGAGTTCTCAATTTTTTTCTGAGTGAAAAATTTTAAAATCTAAGTAAAAACGAAGAAAGAACTGTCCCTTATACACGCTGTAATGGTTTAAAAATAGATGTTATTTGTTTTGTAGAAAAAGAGGTTTTCGTTAACCACGTACAAAAAATGTCAACACTTCTGCATCAATCAGATATTTCTGTTTTCAATGAACGCTCACAAAAACGTATTGAATAATAAATAAATGTGTTGAATGGAATTGATGCAATGTGTTAAAGCTTAATTCATTATCTAAGAATGACGATTACACTCGCCGTTATCTTCACCTAGTTTCTAATCTTCTTATTCATTCACTTTGAGAAGGTTACATTACAATATATTTTAATATTGAAAGTAGAGATACAAATTAAATTATAATTATATTCATTATCCAATTAATCGTTTCAGTCCATTATCATTTCGTTTCATGTCACTATTCCATCCACTATGTAGTTCATATCACTATTCGTGGCCGAGATATTATCCGGTTAACAGGTTGATGATTCAACGAAACTTGCTCATTGTTTACAAATTTTTTCCACCAAAGTAACGGTACACACATAATATACAGGCTGCTTGGAAACGGATGAGAAAAAATTGAAAACGTGACAATACAAAATTGTTAGTAATTAAAAATCTATATACGCTGTTTCGGTGCACCTAATAATGGTGTGCATGGGCAGGTATTAACGTACCGTACGAGAGATAAAGACAATGATGTGGTTCGTGCATCGTTGTTGGCTTAATTCTTAGAATTTAGAGATAGAACTATAATTTTAGTTTTTTCCTTTCGTAATTATTGGAAATTATTTACTATTATTAGAAATATTTGATGTTTCCAGCGTTAATAACTTGAAAGCGGAACAAATTATTGTAATTTAATTACTCTTGATTTTGGTCTCAGGTTAATGTAAAGAATTGTCGTTTCAAAATTTACTCCCACTTGTTGCTAAATATCCTCCATATTAGAACTTTTTGAAACAGTATAAATATATCTTCTTAAAAGTTTATTCATTTTATTATTTTTCTCAAATAATACCGTCGCAATCAGATTTCTGTATTATTTCTATCTAATATAGTGAATAGTCAGTGTTTCATTATAAAGTGATGAATATATGTAACAAACAAACTTTCGAGTACAAACTATCATATTGATCAGATTTTTGTACAAAATTATGTTCATATTCAATGCACCATCAGTAACGAGATTATTTCGAATAAAAGTATACTACTTTTCTGATAGAAACAGACTCAAAGTAAAAATACATTATAATTGTCTGTCACTGTTTTAACGTTTTACCAGATATTGAAGTAGTAAAACAGTCTACATTATAATGCGCGCCGGATTTGAAGGGATTAACTAGATACTTGAATAATTGGAAAACTCGTTTCTCGTTTGCCGACAGTATGGCCACCGCGACTGCATCTCCGTTGCCCGAGCCTCCACTGAAAGGATTCCAAATTCTGTTAATCATCTGCGCGATCCTGTTCCTCTCGTTGCTCCTGCTGGGCCTAGGCTGTTCGTACATGTGTCTGAAGCGCAGAAATGTTCGCGTGATCCACCGTCATCCATTCGGAAGTGGCTCAGGCTCCGAGATAACGAAACTTTCTACGTCTTCGCTGAGCAACATCACGATGTTCGAGGGTCTGAAGATTCCTCGGGCTCACGCGCTTCTACACGCACCTCCATCTACTACCGGAAGCGACGCAAATCTTATGATCGATCACTCGTTGCCCAGCGATTACCCAAGTGAAAGCTCCGAGGTAAGTCTACCGATAAAGTTCACTACTATTTTTATTTGTTTAGCGAAGGGTAAACATTACAGAGCAGCTTCAGTTCACATCCTTCAGCAAACCCCTTAGCGAAATTTTCTGTACACTGGAACTTCGATTACTTGATATAATTGCACGATTATCAGTTGTATATCGTAAATGGAGATTTAAAAAGAAATCTTTGAAAATAGTTCGTATTCAGCAAAATTATAATATAGAATTTATATGTTTTGTGCAAATAATATACTTCTTGTATAGTATAATAATATTGACAAATATGATAAATAATCATCTAAATAAGTTACTTAAAATATCAGTGTTACCAGTTGTTATAATTACTTTTAACAACAAAATTCATAATCCGATCATAATTGAAATGAAATTATTCATATATCTGTGACTCAGTTTCAAACGTTGAGATTTCAGTTATAAGAATACCCTAATTTTCACGATTCCCTTGCTGACCACATTGAATCTTCGTTTGCAGGTTGACGAAGAACCTTCGTTACCGGTTTCCTCTGCTGGCTCCTACGACAACAAGGCATTCGTCCATCACGAAACTCACCAGCGACAAGAAATGCGCACCACTAGTTCTCTATATTCAGAAACCGTTGCTGCCGAGATGGAATCATCTTCCATGATGGCAGCGAATGCTTCGAGGACCAGCATACCTCGTCATATGGTCGCAGTGCCGATAGAACCGAAGTTCGATGTGCAAATGAGAGTGAAGAGAGCCCCGCCACCTCCGCCAAGCCCTCTGCCCTCTGAATCGGACGTAGCGAGCGTCGCTCTAGAAAGAAACCTCACCACGATCTTAGAAAAAGAAGAGTCCAGCCTGACGCGAAGCCTCGAAAGTCCTCCAGCCAGAATGACCACCTTCTCCTACGTTCCCGAACTACACGGGCCTCCAGGAGGAGCATCGTCTCCATCAACGATCTCCCGCCAGCAAACGCCTCCAGTGTACTCCAGGATCCTCAGAAAACAAGCTGAAAGAGAGACAACCACTAGCACCAGTCTAATTCAGGAACGAATCCCGTCGCCATCGCCCGTGGAACAACCTCCCCTTCAGCACCACGAGATCCGCAGACCAAGGTCCCTGACTTCGTTAAATACGGAACTAACCGAGACTCGTTCCCTCACGGAAGTGACCGATCACACCCACGCCAAGTACCGAGTGGCCAGCATTCTGGCGCCAACTCCGCCACCTCCTCCGCCCATTGTTCCAACTGCCACTGCTACTCACACGGCGATACAGCACCGCGAGCACCGTCTGTTCCGCGAAGAAGTAACGGAACCTCTAGTGGAGCCACAAGTGGTTGCCCCAAGACGCCCAGAGATTACCACCCACGAAGTGGACGACGTGTTCCTAAAGACGGTTACAGAGAAGAAGACGATCGAGGACGTAGAGCGACACCGCCGCCAAGTGACCGAGTACATGTCCAGACCTCAGCCCCCACCTGACCCCAAGTGGGACGTGACTATCAGGAACTATCCAACAGAAAACCTGCCACCCCCTCCACCTGAATGGGAGAACTTCTCCGATGTCAGTTCCACGTCGAACCTAACCATCACCAACGAGCCAACTGGCATCCAATGCGACGCACCAATAGACGAGGAGCCGGACATCCATATTGAACCAACTTACACGGCCAGAGCCGAGATACCCTGCAGACCACCGTTGTCAGCTCGCCGATCCATGGACGAGACAGATGCAGACTGGTTCGGCAGACTGTCCCGCGTCCTAGATCCCAGATACGCCTCCGAGTTCACTGAGGAAGAACGCATCAGATGGCGGGAGATCATCACCACGGACAGCACCCTGAGGACTCTGCTGACGGAAGCCGTGGTTAAAGAGGACTATGAGTTGATCCGCAAGGACACCAGATATACCAACCTCTTCCCTCCAGCCAAATGGGACGTGATCATCCGAATCCTAGGTCCCCCCTCTAACCACGCAGGATCCACATCCTCGTCTAACCTAGGAAAAAATCACCGGTATAAGAGGTCCAAATCATCCGAGTGGGACACAAGATCCAGAAGGTCGTCGCTGCCGACGTTGTATGAGTACGAAAGCGACGGAGGTAGCTCGGCTAGAACCCAGGGCCACCGCATCCAAGTGTCTCACTCAGCCTCGACGATGGGACAGCCCAACCGGCTCCGCAGATTAGGGTCTAGCCACAGGGGTGCTGGTGGTAGCAGCGAAGCGGACGTCAGGTCGATGTCCGAGATGACGGTCCGAGACTTCGCCAGGGTGGATCGCGACGATCTGACGAGTCTGAGCTCGTTCGAGGGCGCGGACTCGTTGGTCCGGTCCCTCAGTCAGCCTAGCTTAGCTAGAAGCGGTTCCGAGTTCACCGAACACTGGGGCATACCCTCGGGGATGATGGATCTCCCTCCGTGGGCAGCTGAAGACGCGGAAGAGGGGACCAGCTCCGTCGAAACGACGCCTCGTGTCGTCAGAAGGAACGACCGTTTGGAGGTCCTTGCCTCGTTGGACGACCACAGACAAGGTCTGGTTGCTTCCGCTGGTAGATCGAGTCGGTATATAGAAAGGGAACTGAGCAGCGTGCGCGTCACCGAAAGCCAGAGGACCTCAAACTGGTTCCACGACGACTCTGAACCCGAGATGCAGATCTGAGCGAATCTTACTCGATTTTCGAATTTCTATTGATTGTGTCCTACCACTGCTCTTGTTTCGTCAAAGAGTAGCGTAGATTCTGATCGAGCATTTTTTTCTACGGCAATGTTCATGGTCCAGTTTTCAACGACCGATTTATTACGATTTCTATGGAGTCCACGGGTGGGACGCTTGGATAGTTTATTCCCTGCACTGCTCATCGCTCAGAAGGGATTAGGATAATAGCGGACAATAATCCTAAGACGCGGACAATTAACGCTGAACTACCAAGCAAATCGACTGTTTCGTAATTTTTTAAAGAAATTATAGATATACGTTTATTGAAAACTCCGTTCAGATGTATTTTTGTTTGCCTACTGTTAAATTGATTCAGTGATTCTTCAGAAAAGCGTTTGTACCTTTTCACTGACTGCGAAAGAAGAATTTTGACCTGTTTGGTGGTTTCGGTATTAACACAACGTCTTTCATGTTCTTTCTCTTTTTAACGATGAAGACAGAGTAGGGGAAGTCCAGTTCGCTCTGGAACATGGTATTGTCCGGGAAAATCCGGTCGCCTGTACCGTTCACTGCCTATTCTTTCGCCAGATCGGAAAGCCAATATTTTTGACTAATCGCTCGCGCACGACTCGACGTGTCGACTGTCACGGGAGATCAATTGGAGACCCGTACACTTTAAACTGACTAACAAATGATATTAATGAGACAGTCCACACGTCGAAGGACAATGGCCATTCTCTCCACTTGCCACTCGAATGAAACTAGAAAAAAGTCAAACGAAGTACGAGGGATCTCGACCGCGGACCATCGAGTGGGACTGTAGATTTTGGCGAATTCGAATTAACCATTAACGAAAGACATTAACTCGAGGCAAGTAAGGGTAAGTTTTCTAATTAACCACGCAATGAAATTTTGCTTTTCTAACGATCGATCAGACGACGCGTTCCAAAGATCTCCGTGATCGTTAGAAGCCACCGGGACGTTATTACATTCCTTTCTTTTTTGTTTTTTTTTTGGTATCTTTTTGTTTTTCGAAACGATGTTTAACGCGTTCGCTATGAGCCTTCGAGGTGTATAGAATCCTCGAGCGTTGTACGTAATAGAAGTTTAATTCGCCTTTGCGTGTGACGCGGAAGCTCTCTTGCCGTTCCGACCGGAAGACAATGGGAGTAACGGGGATCGAGTTAGCGAAAGTGTTAAATATTCGGTCGGTGGTACCGCTGCGATAGTAGTCTGTTTAAGTAGGTAACGAAACATACGGTGCTGGGTTATACGCTTCAAACAATAGCTAGGACTTCCTTCTTCAAGACGTACTTAATCCTCTCAGTGTTAAATGTATCCCACACGTGCGGTGTGCGTTGGTTCGGAGTAGATATCGACCGCCAGCAACACGTACACTACCATTCATAAATCGCCGGCCGTGTGTACTGCGTATTTCTCGATTCTGAATTGTTGATGATTATTGAAAATGGTTATTAACCTTTTGCCTCGTGATAATGATTTATTTGTATTTTATTCGATGAATATAGCTATTATTCGGCTCGTACGCATTGGAAGAAAACGTTGTGTCTCGGTTATGAAGATTTAACGTTTATATTAAATTTTCTTTTACGGTGAATATGTAATGAATAATAATGAAATAATTTCTTATTCTTCACAATAGTTTATCTTAATGGATAATATGATTTTAATGTCAAGCAATTGATAATAAAATGAGTTTTCTGAGTCTAATCAAAGAAACGATCATGAGGTAAAGAGTTAATGGAACTCACGAAAAGAAAAGAAGTTCTCTATCTTTTTTGAATCGTTGAAATGATCGTCTTAAGGATATTACATCTTGTTTCTCCTTGAACTTCATTATTTTCATACGTGTAAACTCAAGGCATCATTTTCAAAAACCTTAAAGTTATGATCTCACGATGCTTAATGATTGTTTGCAGGCTTTTATGTAAATTTGAATTTTTATGAACTAATTTATTAAAATTGAAAACAATAAAATATTTCTTGACTCTATTAACGGTTTTAAGATATAGGTAAGATGGAAATCTTATTGATTCTTATAAAATTTTGTGCTATTCTGCTACGAATGCATCATATTCACAGTTTACTTTAGGATACGTACATATAAATTAAAAATATATATTACAAACAAATGCATATCTCGAAAGCGATATCCTTTTTCCATCGAATTCTGTCTTTTAATTAAGTATATTATATGCGAGTATAAATCATATTGTATTTTGTGAATAATATCAGTCCTCTGCGTTCATCGACAAGCTTATTTTTTTCAAAAGTAATTATATGATCCACAAGTAACGATAAATCACGACATTTATAAGTCACTTGATTCTCACGTAGTCCCTACCATAATTTCCGTTCTAATTCACGAGACATCTGCCTTTTATGTAAGTATTAGAAAGGTTTCTACTTCTGCAATGGAACTAATATAGACACACTACGAGAAATGTTGTGTAATTTATAGCCGATTATTGCTTTCTTAGTCTTTTACATAGTTTTTAAAAGAGTTCGTTCCTTATATGCATATATAATGTAACGATCTTACGTAAAAACAGGTAACACAGCAACTTAAGTCTTTGCTTACTGGCTGGAGTATATTTAGCAAGCACTCCGATGTCAATGTGTATTAATTAAAAATTTGGTACTGTAGAACGTTCATTACCCGAATATCAATCATCCGACTTTCAATTATTCTGAATCACTTAATGTAAAAGTATAACCCAACCGGTTAAGACTATAAAAACAGCATACTTATATTATAAATATTAAATATTAAATATCAAATATCAAATATCAAATATCAATTATGTAACCTTAATTGGTTAATGATCGCAATTGACATGGATTTGTTCAGAAAATACAGGTGCTACACACCCCCAAACATTTCTTTATGAACCGCAGCGTACATATTAGGAAAAATATCAGATAAGCAAAAAGATAAGGCTTCGTATCAAATTTCTAGCATCAGAAAACAATTAAACTGTGGAATTCATGCATCTATAGCAGAAACATACACATATATAAAATCCAATAGAAGGAAATATGAAAGAAAATATGAATTATTTATTTAACACCTGCCCTTCCGAGAAAACCTGAAAAAATACAACTTTCCTTTTTATACCCACAATACAAACATAATCTAAAAAGCATCTACAATTGTCGCGAAAATCTGCCGTTTACCGGTGACTTACGAACGGCAGTGTACACGTAAATAGCTAGTTTATTTGCAACTATATTATACATCTACACAGGGTATCTCGCGAGGTGTGCTCGTCAGTAGTTCCTGAGGTACAAGTGAGGCAACTTCAGAAAAGGATGCGCGCGAAAGGGCCTGGGTCTCTTGGCGATCGTGTTTCAAGTGGAATGACGGAAACCACACGGAACTCACTTAATTTTGATTCAGGACTTGTCAAGCAGAGGATATTCTATTTCAAACTTTCAACACAGTGTCATTCGTGCGAATTAATCTTGATCTCGAACCTTTTCCTTCGCCGTCTTTTTTCTTCCATTTTTTTATCTTGGAACAACCGAGAAATTGTTACTCAATCGCGCTGAAAGTTTTAAATTAGAGATCCCATGTATTTATTCGGTCGATGCAAACATTTTTAAAGTAAAAATATGACTCGATTTATTTTCCTTTTCGAAATTACAACAGTTTTACAATGATTGTATAAATAAGCTTATAACAAATTGGAAAGGCTAATAGCTATCAAAGGAAATTGTATAATAAAAAACTCTCCCGTTTTCTTTTATAAAAAAATGTTGAGACTGTTGCATCAACTTAATACATACGTGCCGTGTACCTAATTATTAGGTCTACCAGATAGTTCTGTCCATATTTGAATGAAAAGAAAGTAATACGTTTCCAATACATTTGTTAACACTAAGTTTACGGACTGAGTAAAAAAGTGATGTTCGTTATATCTTGGAAATTAGGGATTTAAAGATAAATTACTAGAATACATATGCATCAATGAAAACCGACATAAATGTTTATCAAGTAATATTTATAAAATTCAATATGCGTAAAATCGACGCGTTTTGTAAACGTAGTGTTAATAATTTATTGAACAATATAATTTCCATCGTTATTAACACTAACACTACCGCACCCGTCAAAATGGCGGACTTCAGTTTTCTTATTTCACAATCATTGACATCTCAAAAGTGTTAAATATCTGAAATGATTAAAAAAATAAATAGTTTCACTCCAACACTATAATCAATATATGAAGAAACTGACAAAAATCTATTGTTACAATTCTTATAAAGATTACGTATTAATCATGTTAAATGATCAGTAGATTTGCTGTTAATGAGGCATTTTCAGCATAGTGGTAATTTATGGATTCTGTTTCTGTAGAATGGTTGATTTTTGAAAACTTGAGATGACATCGGAAAGAACTTCCCGGTAAACTTAATACATATGTGCGTTAACACAATGTAATCGATCCCACGAAATGCTTTTTCCGTCCGAACAACGTTCCCGTGCCAAGAACTCTTTGTATGCTTTTCCCTTGTAACAGAGACAGAGGAAAGTGGTTACATTTGAACATTTCGGCGAGGTCTTTCGAACGATGTACAGAATTTCTCAGCAGAAAGCGACTGTTCTCAAAAGCTGTATCGATGTATTAAATTTGTCAAACCAACGACCAACGTGTTTATTTTTCTCTCCTTTAATCGTAAAAAGTTTAATAAATTTATATCTAATGGTAAAATTACAATGTAGTGAAAACTAAATGATAAAATGAAGATTCAAAATCGTTAATCTTCGAATTTGAAAAAGCATTCTATTGGTCTAGATGCATTTCCGGTAATGGTGTCAGTATTTCATAGTTTATGCAGGAAAATATAGACGAAGGGAGTCACTAAAATATTACATATTAAAAAATGATATCACACAACGTATGGAAAGAATGGAATTTTTTAACAATGTCAAATTGTATTGAAGATAACCCAAGTTGTACTTTCTGTGTAGCAAAGAGTGGGGGAAGTAGGGTAAAACCGAACGGTCAGTTAAAACGGGACAGTAACGTTTTTCATAGATAAAGTGCCCGTATCGAGTTGATATCGCATGACATGGTTCTAATGAGTCCTCGGTGTAGTTTGAGATCGACTGCAGATCACTACACGATTTATTTTTCTATTGAAAGCATTGGAAAGACATTCAGTGGCAAAGTTTTGATGTTACATAGATGTTTAAAGCATTTCTTTTTATCATTCGATTGCAAAATTGAACAAGATAACTACAGTATTGGATTCTACATTCCTTTAGCTGTGTCTCTGACGCGTAAGTTTTTCTTTATCTCATGTCAAACTGTAAATTTTACATGCTTTTCTAACTTATGATGTGCGGAGCTAAATAGAACATTTTAGCATGGGGTAAAATGGAACGCTGTACGTACAGTTGGGAGATAAACTTGATGTCTAACGGAATGGTACAGGGGCAAGGCGTCTTCTTCTAATTTACCCCTATAGAACCGCTGGTCACGTGCTTTTGTTTACAAGTACTAATTCGACTCTTTGAATAGACTATGCATATTGTGAGGGTAAGATTTGAATGGTTAGAATGACCAAAACACACATTTTAGGCCATTAAATTTGTCTCCAAATTATACTTTGTTTTATGAAAGAAGAGCCCTTGAGGAGATAGTAGGCTACCTGCGAACGATCAGGACCGAGAGGCAAGATGACCCTTCCATTCACAATATTTAGGCCGCTTCGGTCTTCTATTAGTTATGTCAAAATGTGAATATTTACATAAAAATTCATGGTAAAAAGGTAATGAACTATTAACACGTTGACCGCCACGGTGGTCATATGTGACCGCAAATTGTTTCTTCTGTAGCGCCATGGTGGTCATCGGTGATCGGAGCTTCAAAATTACGAAAAAAGAATTATAGCTTGTAAGACAACTGATGTCAAATACAAACGTTCAGTACCATGTATAACTAGATACTTGTGTAACGTAAGAATTGTGATATTAAATAATTAATAATGCTTCCTTTTTATCTTTGACGCGGAAAGAATAAGTGATATATAAAACGTTGATGTTTTGAGCGACGTCCTGAGCAAAACATGTGATTTCGGCGTGACAGTCAATGTGTTAAAGACAGAATATATACTTATCTGAAATTCTCCAATGCAAAACATATGGAAAATGTTGCGAAAAATTTCAAGAGTAAAACGCGTAATCGAATCGAAAAATGTCTAACTTTCGGGATATCTCGGTACTTTACAAGCGCTCCAAGGAAAACAAAATTTGTAGGACATTGTTCCTTACATATTCAGCTATCTCAAGCGGCACAAATTTTTCGGTTTAGGTAAACTTTTTAAAATTGACTTCTGGTCGCCCAGATCAGGCGAATACCCCACTGTCCGACGTATTTGTCAAATCATATCACGGTAAATTCGAATTAAATTCTTAATAGTATTTATTAAATTTTGTTCCTTTACGAGTTCCCCGGCATATTATAACGCAAGGGGTTAACAGCGAATGGATCCGCAGCTTCCGGGATCACCGCGAGAAACAGTAGACCGTCGATCACCTCGCAGCGCGAGTAGTTTCTATGATCGATCCCTCGCTGAAAAAGGACACGCCTCCCCCGAGGACGGACCGTGTTGTTTTTCGAAAAACAAGTCCTCTCGATATGCCGCGTTTCCGTCGACGAGGCGACGCATGCGTTTTTCCACGCGGCGCTTTCACCCTTCGCGGAATAATCTTGGCCCTGAATCGAGCAGTCTTCAACGAACGACACGGTGCTCGTTCGCGTCGCGACCATCGTCTCGACCGATTCACCGTTTCCGCACAGCGCCCGACAGAAAAATCACTCGGAAACAATCCACGCCGACGATACCGCTGACCAAAACACAAAGTTCGAACAAACGATAACATTCGATTATAAACAAGTGCCGATAATTAAATGTACACTATAACTTGAAAATTCGAATTCGTAATTTCAATCGAACACGAAACTTTTGTAGATGCCGGAAATTAATGGAACACGAAACTAACCGACCGGTATTAAATTCACAGTGATCGTTAAACGATAATAAATAAGTTACCAAATAATAAAATCGCAAAATAGAGATCAAAGTTGTTGTTGACAATTCGTACGTTACATGTTGTCGAATTGTTGACGAGCGTCGGGAACAAGCAGCGCAACGGAAGAGGCACGTCGTCGTTAAAGAGGAGAACGATAAAACTGCAACGAGCCTCCGATGAATTAACGAGCTTGCGCGACGTGTAGAACGCACGTGGTCAATGGAATTCGTTCGATGGGAAGGCTCTTTGACGGCGCCGTTAACTGGCGATCTCGAAGTGGCGGACTATGTAACGAGGTACGCGTTACGAATACACGATCTTCGCGTCCAACATGCACGCCGCGCGTTTATTTCTCTCGGATGATTAACAATTGGAAAAAAGACGCTGAAAAAAAGACAGACGCCACGTTTAAATTAACTTACGCGGAAGAAGCTTTTCGTCAAATTAAATTACTCGACGAGGAACGCGAAACGTTTCCCCCTTCCGCGTTATGAAGCTCTTTTTCACTTGGAATAGTTTATTTCGGTCTCGACTCTCTCCCTTCGTTCTTTCAACAGAAAAAATTACGCTTAGGGGACTTCAAAACTGTCTGGGTTAGGTGGTTGAAATTATGTCCTCGGAAACGTGAAAATTATTAAACTCGTCACAATCATTTGGAATTAAAAATGTTATTTCTGTTTAGGAATTCGTAATTTTTTCATTGTTGCATGTTTTATTAGTGTTACTCGTTAACCCTTTGCACTAGAGAGCTGACTCTGAGTCACCAATTTATTTGATATAGCAAAATTAGAAGGTTTGTTTGTAATATTGAAATAAAATTATTTTGTTTTTTAATTCATGAATGTTTTCTTATTAGGTAGTTTCAAGAAATGTCGTCTATATCTCAAGTTAGAATGTTGACTATTTCTGGTGAAAATCTGCATTTGAGTGCAAAGGTTTAATATTAATCGTTGAAATATGTTTGTTAAAGATATGATAAAACTATTCTGAGTATGAATGCAATCGAAAACTTTCGAGCCATCGTTGAAAAATACTAATAAAAATATGAATATTAAGACGGAAATTTACTTTATAGACTATGCAATTCGTCACGCAAAAGCATTACGCGTTATGATATATTTCCAAGGAGAAAGTAGATAATTTCTAATCTTCTCCCTTGCTGTAGAAGCTCTCCTGATTTTATTTACAAACCAATATTCTTTTTTTCTTCTAATTTGAAGTTAGTTTCTTCATGTAATTGGAAAGAATGTGCAAATAATCTACTGGAAAAGTTTATTTGCAATAGAGAAATTACTATACGTGAAAAATAAATACAAAAAACTCCTCTTCTTTTCCTAAATTAGTATATATTCTTTGAATGAAGTATAAAATATGTGATTCGTAAACCTATTGCTTTTTCAAATGAGATTTCAACGTTCTAATTTAAGAAATTAAAATGCAAAAATTATATTTCCACCCTATCATAAAAGAACACTGAAGTATATAATGGGATTTGTAAATCAAGTTTTTATTTCCGACAATAATCCTTGTATAAATCAATATAATGTAGGAAATAAAGCATAAAACATCTTAAATGGTACATATCCATCGATTTCATATAAACACAAAATTCTTTCATTATCTTGACGTCATCGGTCCTAAAAAAATGTCCCACATTTCTGCATCATTTATATATCACTTCGATAATTCCTGTCTATTCTTTTATTAATAATTTATTAATAATTTTATAAAGTATTAAATATGTATCATCAATTACGTACGTTTGGTATCAAACAAGTTTGGGTAGCTTCGTAAACTACTAAACAAGTAGTAATTCGATATGTCAATTATTGTAGAACCTCCTACACAGCAAATATTTAGCTTGGTACACAATTGTTTAAATAGGTATCGGTAATACTGATATCGATTCGAAATATTAAACAGCAATAAAAAATTATATATTTACAAACAAATAGATATGAGTATTATCAAATAATTTTGTTATAAATGATTATCTATTTTGTTCCGTATTTACAAAATTATTTTATAATGATTTATCCTGTTTTCACTGAAGTTACTATTAAGTGCAGTTCTTGTTATTATTAAAAAACAAAAAATTAAATATTAAAGCATGAACATACATTGAAAATATTGTAAATGTAGATAATTAGTATTTGATTAAAATTCGGAATAATGAATATTTCACTTTTCATATTAAGAATATGGATAGATAAATTAACTGAATTACCGATAACGAAATAATTTACATATTAATGAGTCCACTTAATAATTAATACGTTATATCGCAATATTAATCTTCGTTTTTACAATCAATATACCACTACAACTATTAAATATCTGAATTGATGTAATAAAACTAAGCAATTAAAACGGTACAATTTAATGATACCTGTATTCAAAATATTTTTCACTCGTATATAGGGTGTTCGGCAACAGGTGGGAGAAAATATGAAAGGTTATTTTCCTTAGCAAAATATATAAAATGAAAAACATTAATAAAAAATGGAGATACCAATTTTATTTTCAAGTTATTAATAGCTAAGGGTGTCTCAGAATTATGATAATTTGTCCATAGTAATAAACTTAAGGCAAGCGATACTTGCGAAAGGCAAGAACAAAATATTTAACTCATGCATAGTAACAATAGTTAATGAATTTGAATCGTTGATAACTTAAAAACGAAGACATTATCGCATTGTTTTCATTCTTGACTGTCGAATCATCAAAGTGCGATATCTAGGAAACAATTTTCTTAATGAAACAGAAACTGGAACAACAAAATTTGCCATTGCCTAATCTTCTTGAAATTCATAGATTCAAAAAAATTCGATTTGTTCAACATATTACTGATAAAACTAATTTTTAAATGTATAGGATGTTCAAAATTCATAGGTACTCCTATGTCAGATGTCACTCGATATTGTTAAATCGCCAATTATATTAAAAGTGTCTCTTCCTCCAATAAAAAATATTTAGAAATACTACAAATATAACATCTCAGCCAAGTTGCAATGCTATTGTCAATATAGCATACAAATTTTACAACCCTTTATTCGAATACTCTGTATGCAATCAATTACATGGTTCGAATTCAAGTGAGATGGCAAAGTTATTAATCATCGTCAGTGTAATGTGTCAGATGTGAATATCAAAATCCTTTATTTGAGTACCCTGTATGCAGAGAATCACATGATTCGAATGTAGGTGACATGACGTTCAAAATGATAAATTTTTCTTATCTGTTGCCGAATACGCTGTATGTACGCCATTATATATACGCGTTTTCCCCATTCAGAGCAGTGTTGGAGATAATATTCTCTCGAGACGTTCAGCAAAGCCGCTGTATTTTTCTTCAGCTCCAATAGAAACCGAGAATGGGCTTTCTTCGACGTGTTTCTCACTTCTGGGAACAGGAGAAAGTTCCAAACAGCCCTTTGTTCACTAAATTTCGCATTCTGTGATTGTTTCGTTTGTCTAAAAGTAAAGAAAGATTTTGATAGAAAACTGGTTTCAGGAGTGCTTTGGAAAATGAAAATATATATACGGTAGCACAATTAAATTGGTATACCGGTTTAATAAACCACCTTTATTGCACCATTCGAATTATTCAATTAACTAAGGCAATATACTGTTTTAGCATGTGGTTAAACTTTGATATTAATCATTTGAATTCTAATTATCAAGTGGTGATACGTTAATGTAGAAATGTACAAAATTAATTACTTTATTTTTATCAATTAAATTGGTATCAAAATTTGATGCTGCAATAATATTCGGAGACCTACAATAAGAGATGAAGGCAGATGAAACCTCGCCTTATATAATAGTATTGAGTAAGACTCATATATGACGAATATTTCGCATTGAATTTAAAATATGAACATTATTCGATTCACAGCAATTAACGAAAAGAATATATATCGATTTCAATTTTCATCCAGAAAAATTGAGAAACAAAATATTTCAATGAAAATTATATAAACGTATTTTCTTTTATCATTCGTGTAAGAACTTGTTCAAATAAAATTTAAGACATGCATACTATTTACTATGCAATGCTAGATAGAAAAACGCAAAATCAATTGGCATTAACTATGGGCAAGTATCAGCAATAAATATATTGTTTGTTAAAATTGTTTTGTTTTTTAACTTCTATTTATAAAAAAATTCATACACTTGAAAAGCATACAGGTTGATAAAGAAAAGGAATTTAAAAATTTTGGAAGTACACTAGTACTCATCAAATAGAGGGAATAAAGGAAATTGATAAACATTGTTCGAAATTCTAATATTTTCAAGATTATTAGTAATTTTTCCTTTCAATTGAAGCGTGTGGCCTGTTCACTTCTGATGCTGTAGCATAATAGAATAGCGAAGGATTATCTGCCCTCTTCACATTTTATACACACATATCGCAATACGGTATTAAATAGTACAAAATAATGCAAAATATATTAGTATTTTGTTTTAAACAATGGATTGAATCAAGTAAACTGGTATCATAGTTCCCACTAGACATATGTCTATATGTATAAAATATATATATATATATATATAATTATAAAATATAAAAAATAAATAAAATTATAAAATAAAATATTATTACCATATATTTATTCACATTGAAGAATATGTAAAAGTTTTCTTACGTCTTATTTATATATTATAAGATAGATTTTAGTATTTATATAAAACCTTCAATAGTCTTACATAAACAATTTATACAATTACAATTACAATTGATGTTTTTTCATTTATAATTTTAATTCTTATTCATTATTTTTTAGGAAAGTAATGAAAGTTCACTTAGAAATCGAATTTGAATCAAATGTAAAATTTACAATACAAATTTCAATTTTCAATTTGTATTACAAATGTTTATATTGTCGGTCATCGATGATGGTACTTAACGCATTAATAAAGTACTTAGAGTATAACGTGTTAATGAAGGTATTTATTATAAATATACTGTGAACTAACCATTTCTGTGATCATATTGTACAATCACTAAAATTTATTATTTACTACATTATATTTGCATATTCACTTATCCCCACTTTGCATTAATACTTTCCACACAAAATTGTTGCCAAAACTTCATCTACGTACAAAAATATACATTTTCAATGAAAAAAATAATTTAATCGTTACACACGCATATAAAGCATACTCCAAATAATTTACCTTTCCCTTCTAACACTATTTTCTAATTACTCCAGAAAAAGAGCCATAATTCACAACACTCGCGCGAACAATCCCGCACAGCGAAAAAACATGTGTCGTCACATATCTTTCACGTCCTCAAAATTAGGTCTAATTTCACGTGTGGTTTGCCACGTCCACAGCAAACAAAAGGAAACAGAAAGCGAAAAAAAGGAGACTAAAGCGACCAACGAATTTCACATTTTCCTAAACCAGAATATACACCTTAACCTGTCGGAAAATGGAACGGCGAATTCGATAATCGCGTTACGTACAAGTTATTTGCCTTTTTATAGTACCAAGTCTAATCATTTTCACACCTCCGTAAGTATCGCGAGACGCGCAAAAGAACGTGTTCTCTGTCTCGCTTAATTGGACGAACCTGCGTGGTGTATATATACATACACGTATATACAGTCAGCAACGAAAGTATTCGAACAGCATAGTTAGAAGTAAATTATCATTAAAAAATTATTCATGGTATACCGTATGTTCTGTTACCAAATATACAATATATTGTCACAAACCTCAACTCATATACTTTCAGTTAGAATGCATTCAAATAAAAAATTAAGTACTACAGTTTAGTCACAGACAACATTTAATTTAATTTGGTAAAACATATTATTCATTTGGATGATCACTTTTGTGAATAACTGTACGTTCTATTTTACCTTGTTTCAAAGTTACAGTCACGTTTGTGTTTCAACAATTTGTAACAATTGTTTACGAACATAGGAAAAGCTAAAAATGGTTAATTTAAGATTTAAAAGTATTTAGGAATACTTTACCTTATAACGCGGTTAAAAAAATTCAAGATTACACGGATTTCACGTTTACAAATTTTTCTTTAAATTCTATCGATGTCAGATTTTGGATACTGGTTCATTTTCTTCCTGTGCTTGTATTATTTCTTCACGTTCATAATTATTTTTCAATAGCTGTTTAACCGTGTTATAGGGGAGCCTACTAAAATTTATTTGTATATTGATCAATATTTTAAAATTTTAAATTGACCATTTTAAGCATTTTCTTTGATAGTGAATACTTGCTACAAATTATTGCAACACAAAAGTGACGGCAACTTCGAAACAAGGTAACACAGAACATACAGTTACTCACAAAAGCGTCCCACCAAATGAATGATACGTTCCATCAAATTAAATTAAACGTTTTATCTCAATAAACTGTAGTACTTAATTTCCAAATTGTTTCCATTCTAATTTAAAGTATACAAATCAAGGTTTGTGACGATATAATTTATATTTGGTTAGCAACACATACAGTTTTGCTAAATACTTTTCAATTTTATTGCGCGTATGCGCCATAAATGCAACTCATTTCAATAACATTCGAACACTTTTGCTAGTGACTGTACATACTTCGACATACACGTACACGTTGACGTCGTTGGATCGCGCGCGGATCGATCCCCGAATCATCGAAGCACGTAGTTGAAAAGGGGGTATCGGCCGGGGAGAAAGTCCGATGATCAGAGGATGGATCGGCGGCACAGAGGATGGTGGGGTTGCCGTTGCGACGCTCGCTCGCTCGCCCGCGTTGTGGTGGCGAACAACGCTGGATGGTGGGGTTGAAAGGTGGCGCAGTCATTTATGGTTGCCGGTTCATCCGACGGGTTCAGTTCTCTGTCCGACCAACAACGACAAAAACCTCGGGAACCGAACGAGGCGGCTTGGCTACACGCCGGCACGGCACACGCCATCGATCGTCACGACTTGGATTCAGAAATGGCGGAAGAGATTATTCGAGGATCCTCCACGGGGAGAGTGGCTCGATCGATGAGTAACGCGGCCGGGTCCGATGTTCGCGCGATCTTCGACACCAGACCACTCTTAGTTTGAGCAATAAACGAAACAAGTAACTCTTTGAAATTTCTCGTGATCCCGGTGATCTTCGAAACGACACTTGTTCTGTGCGGAATGTTTTCACGGTCGATAATATTAGTGGCGTCGAGCTTAACATATTCGAGAGACTGAATCGTTAAAAAGGATGTAATTGTTGCTAGTCGAGGAAGAAAGTCTTTTTTTTGCGTTCCAAGATGACTTCGCTGAGGAGATCGGCGAACCAGTCGACCAGGGAGGGCACTTCCGGCAGACGCCACGCGCTAGCCGGAATCAGCTCGAAGAGCATGAGGAGCGTTCTCCACGCACCCACCGCGCCAGGCTCACCGCTTCGGCACAGGTCCAAGTACGAACTGAGGAGCATCAGCTTGGAAGGAACCAAAGTCCTGCCGTGGACTGCACGGTGAGTCCAAGCATCGATTTCTACTTAATGTTGTTCATGAGAAGAGCCTGGAAAGAACGCGGATCTATACAATTGGTTATCTTTCCTCATCTCAGTTTCGAAGTTAACCGTTTGCACTCAAGAAGCACTGTTAACACATTGTTGACCGGTAATTTGACGCGGAAGCTATCACATTTCACCGGTTGTTATTCCATAATTAAATATAAAAGTGAAACAATTTAAACAAATTCCAATATACTTTATTTATACATAAGGAATTGAAATGAAACTTTGGACGTATCTTTTATAGAACTTTGAATATTTTGCAATATTCTATATTGCCCTGCGTTTGAAGAGTTTCAATGGCTAATACAAATGCAAACACGAGTTAATTCGTGACCGGTCAACAATGTACTAAGACACGAGAGCAGGATATCATTTTATTGCTAGAGACCTCAGGTCAACTGGTTGCCAAACATTCAGATAACAGGGGTAATCGAATCGACAATACGTTGAGGGCCGTTGTCGCAGATAGCTATGGGGAGTGTGTCGACTGCCCCACTACCAGCATTTTCTTAACACTAAAACTACCGAGCTATTAGAATGACTTATTTCCAATTAGCGACAGTTTTAAAATTACGTGGGGCTACATTGCCTGTACTCATCTAAAGACTCAAATACGACATATAAATGCATCTCCCGTCACGGAAGTGTCAATTTGTTATTCGTAAATGCGGTTATATGCAACCAATCAAATAAACGATGGACAAAACATATAACGAGAAACTCTCTTGCCACTGTGCTCTTCTCGTGAGTAACACAGAGTACCCGCAACAGGTAACGCTTTGCGTGACGTTCGATTCATGTGTCGTCCGTCCACGACTTGATGGCTAAATTGAGAAATGTGGGTTTAACTAGTTAACTGCGTTAGACAAGTATACACGTGATCTTAAAAGAGAAAGTGGTACTAATATTTCCAACGATAAATTATTTTTTTTTTTTTAGATAAATGTGTAATTCTTC